TCACCTTCAAATATTCTATTTTTATTGTATTTGGTTCCACAAATTGGATCAAGTGGGTCGGCGAACTTGGGCCTATAGAGAATTCTTCAGATTTGGTACCAATTTCTATGAGGAGGCTTTTAAATTTGGGCCACCAAAAATTGGACAATCTAGTGGGCTGAGGAGCTTGGGGCCAGAATTGGCACCACTTTGCATTGCTTGGGACTTGGGAGCAATATATATGTGTGGTGGAGACGATAAAAGTTTTATAGTAAATTACTAAATTCAAAATTAAAATTTTGAACATATTTTAAATTTTCTAGCATGTCATTATGTATAAAAAAAAATCTAGATATTCAACTAAATAAATATTTATTAATTATTTTATTAATTATAAGTATCAAATAAATGGTACATGTATTTGAGGAATAGTTAGATATTTGACCCGCAAAACTTCTAAGTAACGGTCTTAAAAATTGCATTTGTCATCCAAAAAAAATTATTTGATGCAAATATCAATACGAAAGCCTGTTAGCATACTAAATTGTGATGTTAGTTATTTTTACATATCAAATATAAGTAATTAATTACTAAATAATTATGCATATATAATTAGCGTATTCATTCATCCAGGTATTAAAAAATAATTCAATCAGCTGTATGCTAGGGTAGATTATTTATTAGTTTATAAAATCATTAAATAGAAGACTATAGTTGGTGTGGTTTGTTAACCGGTGAAGAAATTAAGGGGGTGATTGTTTACAAAATAATTTACTCACTTTTATTTCAACTCAAAATTTAATTCAACTTTAACTCAACTCCACTATCTTTAATATTAATCATATAATTAAATAATACAAACCAATCATTCTTACACATCACATCAACTTTAATTCACTATTCATCCACTCACATAATTTTAACTTCTATCATTTCCAATCATTTTCAATCATTTATCTCTTACTTTTACATCAAATCAATTTTAATTATTTTATTTTAAATATTATTTTAATACATTCTTAAAATTCCACTACAACTAATCATACCACATTTTTCAAAATTAACTATAGTTAACCAAAATAATTCAATTTGAACAAATTATTTCATAAACAATCAAGCCCTAATGCCTCTAAATGAAAACGGTTGCCACTTAATAATGATTTGGTTTCAAAAGGTGGACTTGTGTAGGTGCATCTAATTCCTCCCACATAATTTTTTTTTTTTTCTTTGGTATCATGAGACGAAAGAGACGATACAAATTCGGGAAAATAATCATCTCAATCGGATGATCCAATAACTCTATTAACCAAGTATATATACACAAAATTAAGACTACACATACTGAAGAATAACCTAAGGCTAATATTGTAAACACACAATTATACACATTAACATTTTACATTTTGGTTGGTTATTTGATTTGTTTCAAATTTTTTTTAACTACCATAGCTCAAAACTTTTCAATAATGTAATTTTATTTCAGAATGTACATTTATATTACTAATACAACAATTAAAATTGTTTTTTTTTTCTTTATTGATATCGTAAAAATTTATGTTAATTTGCCAGTTAAATCACAATTTTTGCTTTGCTTGAAATTTAATTATAGTTTATAAGTTATAACCTATTAATTTTGATAGTAAAAGACATGGCCTTTTGATATGTTGGAAATCGAAACATGTAAGTCCACACAAACCGATTTTCAAAGGCTTACGTTTGTTATCTCGTTATTTGATGTAGATAAAGAGAGAGAGAGATAACGCCATGTAAAAAATTTAAGAAATAAAGACACATCACCTTATACTATAGTTTTTAAACACGGGTCGTAATCGACTTGGGCAGGTATTCGGGTCACTGGGTCACTTGCTGAACCGAATAATTAATTTTATTTTTTTTAAAAATTATAAAAAAAGAAAATTAAAAAAAAATATATATATATATATATATATATATATATAGGTGGGTCAACCGGTTTGACCCGGTCGGGTCAATGTCCCGGGTCGGCCGAGTCAAAGCCGGGTTGGCCAAGTTTTGATCGGGTTTGACTGGGTCCTTTGTTTTCCGGTCCAAATAGCCAACTCTGACCGGTTTCGACTCCAGGTCAACCCGTCGGGTCGACCGGGCCAGTCCGGGTCAAAAAACTATGCCTTATACAATTGAGATTACAGAAAATCCAATTTTGTGATATTTTGATAAAATTGAAAAAAAATGTGAATTCTGAACTTCAGTTTTGCTATGAAGCCAACAATTGGCTCTATGGTGGAACTAACCTTCTATATACAACAAGTAATTAATATTATGGTTTACTTGTTGTATATAGAAGATTTGTTTCACTATGGAGCCAACTGGTGGCTATATAGCAAAAATGTTAGGTTTTCAATTTTCATTAACAATCTATACTTATATTAAAGGCGATCATATTTACTAAATATAGTAGTTAGAAAAGTTAAACTTAATTAATGAATTTTTAATTTTATCAAGTATTTAATTAATGCATTTAATATTTTTGGTATGCAAATCAAATTAGCATTTAATTAGTTCCTAAAATATTGGGTATGCAATATTTGATTTAGAAATATCCATGTAGTTCCTAAAATGTTGGTATGCAACACGTAAAAGAAGATTTTTTTTTTAAATATAAAATATTGCAACACGTAAAATTATTCCAGTTATTTTTTATTTTATTTTACATATAAATCTTATCAATAGTTAATGCATCTTAAAAAATTAGAATTAGTTTAATTCTCCACACAATTGGTTGTAACTTTTTCACTTGTACTTTATTTATTTATTTATTTTACAGCCGACATCGAGGTGTCAAACCTTCCCGTCGATGTGATCTCTTGGGGAAGATCAGTCTGTTATCCCTAGAGTAACTTTTATCCGTTGAGCGACGGTACGCTCGGTTTTGAAGTTATTCCCGAACCTGTAAATGACATTTTTTTTCAATCTTTTCGACCTTGGTTCCATAAGAACAAGTCAGAAAGATTGAGAAACGCTCACTGATCGAGCGCCCTTGCGCCGAAGATGAATGGGGCTAAGCGATCTGCCGAAGCTGATGTGCCCGACAGCTCGTATTATTTGTTGACCAGAATTTAAGAACCTTAAATTAACAAAGCCCTCCGAAAATACCAAATCAAATAATTTATGAAAGTTTTTTTTTTTTTTTTTTTTTAAATCTATATACCCATCTCAAAAAAACTCATTGCATAAATATGGGCGAGTTTAAGAAAATTTCATAACTTAGCTTACAAAATTCTATCTCTATGAGTAAAAAAATCACATCCCTTATCTATCGTAACAACTTTAAAGATAAATCTAAAAGTTTAATTACTACTATAAATTCATTATCTATTTATATTTTTTTAAAAATTTAAATTTTACCTGTCTAATTACTAATATCTTAGATACTTTAAATATTATTTGTATAAATTTTTTTACACATTTGCTCTCTCTATATATATACATCTATGGAGGTTAAATGAAGAATTTTTAAAAATGTTTAAATAGATAATAACACATAACTCCATACATATTTGCCAGAAACGGCTTAAATTTTTTTTAGACTTAACGTTGATTAAAAGAGATAGAAAATAAATAATAACATTATTACTTTTTAGACTTAAACGAACAAGACTGTGAAATTAACTTATTTAATATGTATGTCTCATGCATCGCGCGGGGTACGTACTAGTTTACCCTAATAAGATAAAATAAAATTTGTCATTTAACCGGTTTCCCTTCATCATGCCGTTCCTGTGTTGTGCGGTACAACCTTGGTTTACCCACCATGGCCCACACCATACCCTTTCTCACCCCCTTTATTCAACCATTAATGGTGCTCTCAAATATCTTCTTCTCTTCGTAGAAAATTAAACAAACGATTCATTTTTAGCATAATTCGGTAGAGCTGCTGCGACTGGGAGTGTGCTTGCAGAAGCCTTAGAAAGGCGAAATTAAACGCACCAATTAATGGCTGCTTGTGGATTTTATCGACATGGGTTTCTGAATTGAAATCTGGATATCGCCTCTGCACAATTTCCCAGATTTTTTTTGGCCCCCATTTATTGCAGCAGCTCGATTCTCAATTTCTCCGCTTAAAATCTGGCAGCCGTTGTCTGGAGGGCACGTACACTCTGCTATGGCAATTGCGGCGGCGATGGTGATTGTGCCGTTGGGCGTGCTGTTCTTTATATCTGGGCTCGTCATTAATTTTGTCCAGGTTACTGTGTTGTTGCTCGTACATACCTTTTTTTTTTAGTCTATTTGTTTGGTTCGTGAAGATTTGGATTCTGATTGTTGATTTGGGTATGGACTGAGCTTGGTAAGGGCTTTGATGTCAGTGTGTTTTTGACATTTTGTACTGGGTTTTGCTCGATTGGTGATGTTTCCATGCTTAGCTAATTGTTCTTGAGTGCCGAATCTAGTTTATAGTTATTGTGGTTTGAACTGCATTTTGTTTAAAGAAGCGAGAAAGTGAATGTGAACTTTTGGGAATTTTCAGGCAGTGTGTTTTCTGCTGATAAGGCCGTTCTCAAAGAGCACATATAGGAGGATAAACAGGGAGGTGGCCGAACTTTTGTGGCTGGAGCTCGTGTGGCTTGTCGATTGGTGGGCTGGTGTGAAGGTGAAAGTTTGCTGAATTAGTCTTGTATTGTTACAAGTTGTTAGATAGCATGGCAATTTAGTGGACAAGTTTCGTCTTGAATTGTTTATTAATCTCCCAGTCCTTGTATTGATGACCACTAAAAAGTAACACGAGTGTCTGTGAACTTTTTGAAATGCTGAAATTAACTGAAAGAACGGCTTTAATCGCATCCAGCCAAACTACTTTGTGAGATTCTAGCTTGTTAACTGTGGGAACATATAAAAATCCTCAAGTATTTTGTTACTGTCCAAAGGTAAGGGAGATAGAGTCCGGACAGTACTTTTGAACTTATCATTTGTCATGTTAATCATTCATCTCATATAGTCATATTACACTGGAAATTTGGTTGCAGATTGAATTGTTTGGTGACTCTGAAGCCTTCAAATTAATGGGTAAGGCCCCAAATTTTTGGTTACAGACTTGTCATTAAATTTTCGGTCTTACTGGAGTTATTTATTACATTATGCTGGTATCTTGTCCAGGTAAAGAACATGCACTTGTCATATGTAACCACAAAAGTGACATTGATTGGCTTGTCGGATGGATTTTGGCTCAGGTTTGTTACATTACTGATGCTTTATTCTAATTTTTATTTGGTATGTATTCTACTCATCTATTGTAACCTTTATACGAAGCATATTCGTGTAACTTTTGGGGCTTTCTTATTGGCAGAGATCAGGTTGCCTTGGTAGCTCGTTAGCTGTTATGAAGAAATCATCAAAATTTCTTCCTGTAAGTAGCAACTATTATACTTGCCATGGTACCTGAAGGTGATTGGATGGTCCATGTGGTTTTCCAAATATCCATTTTATTTATTTTCATATATGCTAATGGGAGTATACAATAACACAGTCTAACATACTGTAAACTCTATTAATTCGCCATATGAAGGTGATTGGATGGTCCATGTGGTTTTCTGAATATCTCTTTCTCGAAAGAAACTGGGCAAAGGATGAAAGCACCTTGAAGGTAATGGGTGATACTTTTTTTTAACATTAAATATTCCGAACATTCTCAATTTTTTTTTATTTTTTTTCTTTTGTTTCTATTGGTGAATGATAACTAACTCATTCAATGTCTATTGCAGTCAGGACTTCAACGGCTAAGGGATTTTCCTCGACCATTTTGGCTGGCGCTTTTTGTTGAGGGTACTAGATTCACTCAGGCAAAACTTTTAGCTGCTCAGGAATATGCATCCTCAACAGGGTTACCTGTTCCAAGGAACGTTTTGATTCCTCGTACTAAGGTTCCATTCTTTGCTCTTCTGAAGCTCTATTCTTATCGAGAGCTTTATGTTTGTTTATAACTTGAGAAACTTGACATTTTCAACTTGATATTTCCATTAATACACGTGCTGCCTACTTGTGGTCTGTAAACGCCTTTCTGAAAAGGCTTTGTAATAAACTGTCCTGCCTACAAAACACTCAGCATTTTTTTCTTAAGTTTAGTGTCTTTTGTCAGTTAACAAACATATTTATCAAGTAATTCTGATTAATACTTCTACATGTAAATTTGCAATTTTCAGGGCTTTGTTACTGCAGTAAGTCAAATGCGCCCATTTGTTCCTGCTGTGTATGATTTTACCATTGCTATTCCCAAAACGTCTCCTGCACCTACCATGTTACGGATCTTTAATGGCCAATCTTCTGTGGTAATATTCACAATCTTATTAATCAGCATTAATCTTCACAATCTTATTAATCAGTAATCTTCAAATAGTTGACCATTTATTACCGAGTCACGCTCCTGTTACGTTGCAATCCGTGAGATAGGGCTTTAAAACTAAATTTTAAATTTGAAAAAGATTAAGAAATCTAAAAATAGAAAACTTTAAATAAAACAAAATAAATAAAGGTATGAAAGAACCCTAAAACAACTGAAATTGGGTTTGCTTGTTACTTGTAATTAAGCTAAACCCCAGATGTTTTTATTATGCCGATAAAATTTATTATGTAGTTCTTTAGCTCACATTATTAATAAATTTGATACTGCTTAGGTGCATGTCCACCTTAAGAGACACTTAATGAAGGATTTGCCGGAATCAGATGATGCAGTTGCTAAGTGGTGTAAGGATGCCTTTGTTGCCAAGGTATGCCATACTTTCTCATCATTTATTTAAACTCGTTTACCTTTTTCTCTTTTAATTGATCCGATATCCAAGAAAAAAATTTTACGGAAGCACTGTATAGATTTACTTTATGGATTTTCAACTGTATGTACCAACCAGGACAAATTATTAGACAAGCACAATGCTGAGAATTCTTTTGGCGAGGAACTTCAGAACACTGGTCGGCCTGTGAAGTCCCTTCTGGTAACTACTATATTAGTTTCCTAGGGTGTCTTTGTTTATTAAAAACCCATACTCAAATCTAACTCAAATTTAACCCAACCTCACTATCTTCAATATTATCGGTATAAGTAAATAATATAATCAATCAATCATCCTTACACATCACATCAATTTTAATTCATTATTAATCCACACACATAATTTTAACTAAACCATCACTTTGCATCATCTTTCTCTTACTTTTACCTCAAATCAATTTTTATTATTTTATTTTAAATATTATTTTAATATAAACTCAAAATCCCACTCACAAATAATCATATCAACTTTTTTAAAATTAACCCTAGTTAGCCAACCAAAAAAACCCTGATATATTTATATCCCAGCACGCGGTGAGCTTGATTGCAGAAACCACTCTGAAAGTTTGACCTGATTACCTAAGAAAATACATAAATCAATGAAATTCAAAATATCTTTCAAAATGACGAAAACTCCTTTGGGATTCGTATATGCTCAACATATGCTTGCTTAGATAGTGCGTGAAATTTGTACAATTGAAGCACGTACCACGGTATTTATGTATTTTAAAAGATAAATATAGACTAGCCCTTGGGATTAGTGTTTTTTTTTTCCCTCCATTTTTTCCTTTCGAAAAAATCCTGAACCCCAACTGTTGAAATGAACAGGTTGTATGTTCTTGGGCAATTCTACTGGTTTTGTGCGTGATGAAAGTTATCCAGCATTTTTCGATTTTCTCCTCGTGGAAAGGGGTGGCCTTTTCAGCCATTGTTTTGGGAGTCGTCACTATTCTCATGCAAATCTTGATTCAGTTCTCGCAGTCCGAGCGTTCGACCCCAGCAAAGGTGGCGCCTTCGAAACCTAGGAATGGTGTGGGGCCCACCTGAGACCGGGCAAGATAAAAAAACATCAGTAGGTCGCGAACTGTTTTCTTAGGTAACAGTAGGAATCAGTTGGCTTTGTTTGTCCGTTCGTATCAGTTCATTTTTTGGTTGATGTTATTTGAGTGTCGTTTTAGTGACTTGTTGATGTTCGCTTGTATCGGGACTTTACGGACAGTGATGTATGCTACTCCAT